AAAAAAAAAGAGCCAGGGAGGAAAAAAGGAAGAGGCAAGGTTACCGCTAGAGAGGAGGGCAGCTGTTAGGCCCGGAGCAAAGAGTCCAGGTGTCGTCAAGGTAGGGGGTAGGTTAGGGAGTGAGAGTTACAGGTGGCTGGGGAGGGGGGGGGGGTATGTCTCCCTAAATGGGGGAGGATCAGAAACCAGCCTGGTCAGGGTGAGATCAGAGGTCAGAGCAGGGCCTTCGGGAATTTAGAGGAAGGCAACAGAGTAAAACAAAGTCAGAAAGAGAAATAAAGAGGAGGACCAAGACTGAGCCAGGCTCCCACCCCACCCCCATTCCCAGGGCTCCTTTCGATGTAGGTCACCAGGGATGGGGATGTTGTTGGCTATGGGGCTGTCAGAGGCCAGACAGAGTCCCCTCCCCCTTCCCTCTACCTACTCCCCCTAAAAGCCAGGATTCATCCAGCCCTGGGCAGCACTGTAGGAAGAAGAAGAGGAGGAGGAGGAGGCGAAGGGGGGTGGGAAGGTACAGGTTCCCAGCTCATGGAACTAGGAGTGAGTGGGGCAGGTTCCAGCCTGTAGGACCAGGACGGTTGCTGAGACAGGAGCAGAGGCAGGATCCGAGCCGCCCAGGCCTTTGGGATAGGCAGTTCCCCACCCCTCCTCCCATTCCCTACAGCCCTACCCCACAAAACCCTCCAAGCCCTGGTGACCCCTTTCCCAGCCCTCCAAACCCTGCCCCATCCTCCCCGCAGCACCCAGGCCCCAGGCTCATTACTCTTACTCCCTGTTCCCCCCCCCACCCCAGTCCCTCTTTCCTTACTATACCCATAGTCTCCCCAGACTCGATTTTCTCAACTCCAATCCAATTTCCTCCTTTCCCTACTCTGCCCTGTCTCCATTAGGTCCAAACTGTACTACCCCCCCAACCCCCCCTTTTAATCTCCCTTAATTTACCCTTGTTCCCAGACTCCTCCTTTCCCCCTCTACTTTGGCTCAGGCGGGTATGGATGTGGGTTGGAGAGGTGGTAGAGGAAGTGCAGTTCTCTTACGCCCCCCCAAGCCCCCAAACAATCCCCCTCCTCAATCCCTGACTGCCTTAATAGAATATTCATGAGTCTCATGAATATGCAGCACACTCATTATAGGAGTCTCGTTCTCCCCTACCCCCATCTCCTCTAGTAGTGAATGGTAGGTAAAAAGGGGACTCTTGCGAGGGGTCACAGATGTGGAGCCAGATGTGGGGGGAGGGGGAGCCAGGCTCTGACAGGAGACTGCTGTCACCGCGAAGCCCAGGATCGGGGGGAACGGAGATCCAGAGGGGACACCCAGGGGTCCGGAGACTGGAGCTACGGAGGCCACTCACCGAGGATCATGCTGGGGACCCAGGCGTTCGGGGCTCCGCGCGGCTCCGTCCCGGGGGCCGATCTGGCGGGGTTGGGGGGGGGAGGAGGAGCCAGGGGAGGAGCTAGTGGCTGGGCTGGGGCGGAGCGGGGGCGGGGCTGGGACTGAGAGCAGGTGAGGAAGGGAGGGAGGAAAGGGAGGAGGGGGAGGGGTCCGGGACGTGGGAGGCCGACCGAGGAGGAGGTGCTATGTGGGAGGGGGCTCCAGTGCTCCACATCCATCTCTCCAGGCGACTGTCTCTTTCTCAGACTATTTTTCAGTCTCGCTCTGTCTCTCAGGTTTTCTCTCTGTTTCTTTCGTGAACCCTAAATCTGGGTGGCAGGAAATCTGGATGGGAGGAGGGAAGATCTGAGTCTGGGGGATGGGATGCACGGTTCATAAAAAGAGGTCTGGGCCTGGGGATTAGAATACCTGGGGAGGTGCGGAATAAGGCCAGGGACAGGATGAGACCTGGGCCCTTGGGACTGTGTAGGTTGGAGTTCATAATAGCTGGTTCCTGAGATGGCATTTGGGAATAATGAGCAAAAATGTACCTGGGTCTTGGGGGCAGTCTAAGGACTGAGCAGAAGGGTACCTTTAGTGTATAGACTTGGGACGAAGGAACAGGATATTTGGGTCCCGGAGGGAATTTAGGCCTGGAAGACAGGACACCTAGGCCCTGGGGGTGGGGGGAGTGATGAATTAGTTGAAGAAAAAGATACCTAGGTCCTGAAAAGGAAAATGGGCTGGAACATAGATAGGATAATTGGGTCCTGGAGTAAGGGACTTAGGGGAACAGGCAGTGTAAACTGGGTGATAGAGATACTTGTGTGATAGAACACCTGAGTCCTGAAGGGAGATCTGATGCTGACTGGAATCTCAGGGGTGTAACCTGGGGCTTGGGGATGAGACACCCAGGCCTTGAGTTGAATGAATGGGTTGAGGAATGAGATGTCTGGGTCCTGAAGGGAAGAATGGACTGGGGGATAAGATAATTGGGTCCTGCATGAAGGGATGAGCCTGGGGAAGAGAATACTGTGGTGTGTGCCATGCTGGGGTGTATTGGGGGTAAGCTGGGTAGACAGAGCACTTGGGTCCTGATAGGAGATCTGGGCCTAAGCATACCATCTGGATCTCAGTGGGGGTGGGGGGCCCAGACAGCATCTGGAGCTGGACTCAGTACACCTGGGTTCTGGTCAGAGGGAGAGGCAGGGGGAGAGAACAGGTGGTGGGGTTGGGAAGGGAAAGGATCAATACCAGGGTCCTGCATTATAAGCAGGAATTCAGGGAGGTGGTAGAGAAGATGGGTGAAACTAATCCTGCCTGGGACTTGTTACCTGCCCTTAGTAAAGAAGAGCAGGGAAAAAGAGAGACCATGTAGTCCTAGCCCCTAAATTTCAGAATGCTGAGCCTATTCTTTGGACAACTTGAGTCAGAAAGCCAGAGGGAGAAGGTTCAGCTGGGTTCTGTGGGATCTGGGAAGGGCAGAATGAGTCTGGGGGAGGGTGACAGCAAGGTGGACAGATTATGGAGGGGGGGAAAGGGCTAGAGGCCAAGACTCCTGGGTTCTTGAGGAGGGAAGGGCATTGGGATCTCAAGACTGTAGTAATCACAGACTCAGAGCTGGAAAGGGCCCAGAGAGTTGATCGATGGGAGGTCAGATGCTCATGTTCCCATCTTTGGGACACTTTGATCTCCTCCACCATGTCCCCTCTCATTGATCTAATGGGGGAGGGAAAAAGATCTATTTCCCTTCCCTGATAGGCGGGCTCGATTTCAAGGACAGGAGGACAGGACTGGGAAACTGGAGTCCTGGACAACTGGGTTCTGTCCTGCTTCAAGGAGAATGAAGGAGGTTTCAGGACAGAGACTTGGAATCTAGGCTCCCAGGTGTTGGAGGTTAGGGGCCAGAGGGACCTCGGAGAATCTGGTTCTTATCTGTGAGCCTGACAAGGTTATCTAGCCACAGTCCTCACCTATTTCTGACTTCTCCTGCTCCTGCTCTTGCTGGCTGGCCGGCCTCCAGGAAGAAGTACATTTTGGTTCCTTATCTTTCATAGGTTGAAGAAAAGGGAACTGTCAGCCCAGACCTGCTCTTCCTTCCTCCTTCTCCCTCACCCCTATCAGAGTAGCCTTAAAAAGGCAGGGTGATATAATGGAAAGAGCACTGCCCTGAGTAAGAAGACCTAGCTAGCGTTTGAATCTTGGTTATGTCACAAGCCCTGAGTCTCAGCTTCTTAATCTGTAAAATGCGGATAATAATATGGGTGCTGAAAGGGAGAACATTTTTTTTAAACATTAAAGTGCCATAGAAACATGAGCTATTGTTATATTCTAGAAGGGAAACTGAGGCACAGCATGTCTAGGATGGTTTGTCATGGAAAGAGATGAATTCAGAGACAGAGACAGAGATCTTTGACCCTCATAACCCATGCTCACTCCATACCTCATTAGAGTCCCTAAGATAGGGGGACAATGGAGAAGGCTCTTGGAGTGGAAGGGCATCTGACTCTAGGGAGAAATGATTGTTAGGGGGAGGAAAGGGTGGAAGTGGGAGGGGGTGATCTTGGTGAGTGGCTGGGATTGGGGGGGCAGTATGGGAATGGATCTATTATTGATGAGTTCTGCGCCCCAGGCTGCTAATGAGCCTGGCTGGCTGCTCTAATTGATGTTGGGAAACCCGAGACCCCCAGATCAGCTTCCTGCTGGCCAGCTGGCGTTCCCTCTGCAGCACCCCCCCCCTAACATTCAGCTACTCAGCTTTCTGGTCTCTGTTCTTCCTCTAGTCTCTGGCATAGAGAGGGTGGGGGCACAGGCATCCCAAACTCCAGCTCCTCCCCTCTCTTAGGTTCTCTTGGTTTACTCAGGCCTCTGGAAGAGAAGCCCCACTCATTCTCTAAGTGCTTGGAGATCTTGGGGAGGTAAGGTCTAAACCTAAGATTTAGGGATGGAGCAATTTGTACCTTGAACTGGGTTAAATTTTGCACTGTTTCTGATTACTTGATGTAGTGGAAAATTCCATAGGACCACAGGAGCCAGAAGACCTGAATCTTGGTTTGAATCTTAGCTCCTCTGTTTACTACTTGTATGACCTTGGGCAAATCATATCACCTCAATCTCCTTATCTATAAAATAAGGAAGTTGGACCAATGATCTCTAAGATCCCTTCTAGATCTGAACTCTAAATCAGTTATGATGTGCTATGTGTCCTTGGGAAAGACCCAGATCTTCTCTGGGCTTCCTGGTACACATATCCCTTATAAATGTGTCATAGATGCACACAAACAGGCATCCTCTAGCACTCTCGTGTCTGCCTATCTCCAATCACTTACCCTCACACACAAGACAGCTTGGATCTGCCTTTAGGAGAGAGACTCCTCGTTTACTAGACAAACACTCATGGGACCTGGGAGGCTGGGGGCAGGGAGTAAGGGTTTGGGTTACTTAAGAACGCACATTTGGGCTCTCTCACTCCTCCGGGAGGTTGGTCCCTCCACTTCTCCTCCCCCTACACACTTTGGAAGATTCCCGAAGAGAAGAGGGACTAGGATGGACTGAATGAAAGTAACCTGACTCTTCTTGTTCCATTTCCTCCCCATATACCTCAACTGGCAATTCTTCTTCATCCCCAGGGGCTCTGAGAAGGAACTTCTGAGTCTGGTAAGTGTTGGAAAGTATAGGAGAGGTGAAGGAAAAGAGCATCACATCCCCCAAGGGATGTTTGGGAACCTACAAATACTGCTGGGTTGGAGTGGGGAGCTGGGTCAGAGACCACAGGGCAACTTGGTGGGTAGGGCCACCATCGCATGGGTTTGTGACTAAGCTGCCCTCTTGTGGCTAAATCCTGCCATTGCAGCCTGAGTCTAAGAAGGACATTTGTTTCCTAGTTCCTTCTACCTGCCTGAAAATCTCTGGGCAGTGGCCTTCAAATGCACACATCATGGAAAATCCTTCCTCAAGTCTAATCTCAACTTCATTTTAAGGTCATTTTCTCTTTTCCTGCTACAGGCCAAAGGACAGATAGAGAAAAGAGAAGAATCCCTCCCCCTTCAACAAGCTGGTGCTTTAATAGGAATGTGAAAACTGTGGCCTGGAGGCCACATGTGGCTTTCTAGGTCCTAGGATGGGGCCTGTTGACTGAGTCCAAGTTTTACAGAACAAATCCTTTTATTAAGAGGGTTTGTTCTGTGAAGTTTGGATTCAGTCAAAGGACCGCACTTGAGGACCTAGAGGGCCACATGAGGCCTCAAGGCCACAGGTTCCCCACCCCTGCTTTAGAGGACTGAAAGGTCCAGTAACCCCCTCAGCCTTCTCTTCCCTGGCTTGACATGTCCCAGTACTCCCCTGGACTTTTAGCATCTTGTTACCACCAATAGATATTCTTCTGATGTTCAGCACCGGTCCCTTTCCCAACCTGGGTCCTTCTAGAACTGAAGCTTCCAGTCCAAGAGGATTCCTGCCCTTTCTCCTCATGTCAGTTTCTCTCTCTCCAGGTACCTGGGCCCATAAGCTCTTGCACACTAAGTCCCATTCTCAGGGAGAAGGTAAGACAAGAGGTCAAGGCTAGATAGTGAGACCAGGGCCCCTGATAGGACATAGAGGTTGGGGGCAGTGGGCAGAATAGTGGAGGACAACAGAGTTGGGCCTGTGGTCAGTGGTGGCCCCTAGCCAAGTTTATTGCACTTGCAAGAGTTTAAATAAGTTCCCGGATGTCCCCAGGGCCAGGAAGAGGGGCGGGGAAGGGGAGGAGGCAGCATCAATACAGCTGTAAGAACACTCTTGCTTGGAGAACTACCACCTGGCCCAGGGTAGGCAGGCAGGCAGGCCCTCTTGCTCCTAGGCCCTGGGATGAGGCCAAATTGAAGTTCCAGATTGGCAGCTGCCTCTATTGGAGTCCCCATTAGGGCCCTGGGCATCCTGGGATTCCAGCTTCTCCTGAGTCAGGTCCTGGACTTGCCTCCAGGTGAGCTGCTACATCAGTCTAACCTGGAGTCCTAGCCTGGCAGGAATCCTCGAGTAGTCCTAGAAAGCCCTGGGGTTCTAAGTCAGTGCCAGACCACTTTGGAGATCCGTCTTCATCTGAATTCTGGCTCCATTTCGAGCTGGGTGCTGAGTCCACAGAACGGGCCATCCCACTTCTAAACCAGCCCCTGGGCTCACTCTCCTAGGTCTGTGTTCCTTTTTAACCCAGGGCTGGGGCTGGCTCCAGAGGGTCCAGAGCATTCACTCTCCACACAGTTCCAGGCTTGCAGGCCAGAAGGTTCTCTGGCCCTTGGGTCTCTCACAAGGCTAAGGACAGGACTCCCCTGTTAGGGGACTTGAAGCTGGAGAATTACAGCTGGTCCTCAAGGAATCTGGCACTGGATTTCCCAGCTCTGGTTCTGGAGCCATTTCCTAAGAACTTTGTGTCCCAAGTCTCCAAAGGGCCGGGGTTGCAGGGTCCTATGTCTGTCCCCATAATCTGGGTCCTTCACAGTGCATTGGGGAGAGGGTCCCCTGCTTTCCCACTCCCAGCTCTGACTCTTCAAGTATGTCTGTGAGCCGGGGTGGGGGAAGACCAAATTCCCCCCTCCCTGACCATAAGCACCTTTAGGAAGCACCTACTCCCTCCCCCTGCCCCAGTGAGCTGAGGAGGGACAGGGCCTTTGGGATTAGGAATCCGGGGCAGGGAGGTCTCAGGCTTCTGAGGTGGCAGGGGGGGAGATCTCAGGCATCTGAGGTGGCAGGGGGCTTGAGTTGAGCCTTCTCCATGGCGGTGCCGTACGGGAGGGAACGTTTGAAAAATCCGAGCTGGGGACATGGGAAGAGAAAGAAGTGAGGCCTTCTTTGCAATGCATCCTTCTAGTACCCCTTAGCTTCTCCCCTTACTGACTCCAGAATGCTGCCTGTAAAAGTTAGGAAGGGCCCCATTGGCCTGGAGGGGATGGAGAGTATGGGGTAGGGGGAGTTGGGAGCCTATAATGAAGGTCATGAAGATGAGATGGCCTTGGCAATGTATGGGGTCACAGGAAACACATCAATGAGCTATCTGAGGCTGGAGGCAGGTTAGCTGGGTCCTAGGGAGAGATCTTAGACTGAGGATGGAAAGCAATGAATTCAATCCCCCTGGGATCCCTAAGCACCAAGCAACTTCAGCATGACTCCCCCTCCTCTTGCCTGGACTAGCTGGCAGGATTATCTAGGTGGGGAGTTCTCCTTGGTTTCTTGAAAGTTAGAAGAAATATCTCGTGGGCAGAGGGAGAGGGGCAGACAGCCACAAAATAAGTGGTGAGATTCTGGTCATACCCTTCCATCATTTTCCTCCTGATCCTCATTTTGTTAGCACAAAGTCCCTGTCCTCTACTCCCAACTCCCAGCTCCCCCTCATCCCGCTGGAGTCCCCACCACAGGGGCAGTGACTCCCAGTATGTTCTGCATAAGTAGAGCACATTCTGGGACAGGACAGAGCACCTGAGCTGACCCCACTGCCTTTGGCGATCACCAGGAACATGCCCGGTGAGCCCACTGGATCATCTCACACTGTTGATTGCAATCCTAGGATCACAGATTTAAGGCCAGAAGGGACTTCAGCAGCCATCTATCTAGTTTAGCTCCCTCATTTTGTAGATGAGGAACTGAGGCCCCAGTACATCAAGTGACTTATTCAAAGTCATGAAGGTAGCAAATCACAGAGTCAGGATGTGAATCCAAGATCCTACTTCAAAGCCTTTTCACTGTTTTTTTTTCCCCAGATGTTGCAGTTGAAAGCATGGCCATGGCCCCCACAGGGACTGCTAGCATAGTTGTTGTGGGGGAGTAGTCATGATTGAGGCTGTTAGATTATTGCGGGGGAGCTGGGAGGTTCTGCCTGGGAGGTGGAAGGAGTTTGTGTGAGCTTGCCGCTGACCTTGTAGAGGACGTAGATGAGGAGGCCGAGGAGCAGGAGGCCAAGAAGCACAGCAAGGATGATGATCCAGAGTGGGACCCCCTGGTTGCCTTCTGCCTTGGTCCACTGCACTGCAGTTGCCACCTGGAAGGGAGGAGAAAAGGGTCTCAGGGGACTCCAGGCTTCTTCTCAACTTATATCTGGATCCCAAAGCCCTCCCCTGGGCCCTAGGCCTGGGACATGAGCCCACCCAACTGCCATGAGTCAAGCCCTTCTCCTCTACTTTCCTCCCTCTACTTCTTGACTTGAAGTCTGGGTCCCTGACTTGCCTGAAGCTCCTTCTGGGGCAGCTGTCGAGGAGGAATACGATACGGCATCTTCAGTGCCTTGTATACTGCTTTGCATTGCAGGCTGACTGGCTGGTGTTCCCACTGCCAGGGGAAAAGAGAAAGTCAGGACCAACCCTATTCCCCTACCCCATAAGCTCAGGATCTGCCAGGGGGTAGGGGGAGAGATCTCTTGTTTCTCATTTTTTTTCTTGTGGTTTTGTGACTCTCTTCACATCATCACAGGATGAAAGGGGTCCTTAGAAGTCATCTAGGCAAACATTTTACAGATGAGAAAACCGAGGCATTGTTTCTGTCCTTCCAGCCTTCTGTCTCCCCTTCACAGTATCCTCAGTCAACCCATCCTTTAAAATCCATCTCCAAAGCCATAGAGCCTTGCCTGATTCTCTCAGTAATGACCTTTCCTCATCTCAGGTCTCTTTCAGAACTTTGCCTGACCCTCTCTCATGCATTTTAAGTTGTACCTTGCACCACAATTGTTTACCTGTTTGGGAGGCAATTGAGGTTAAATGACTTGCCCAGGATCACACAGCTAGTAAGTGCCTGAGGCCAGATTTGAACTCAGTCCTCCTGATGCCAGGGCTGGTGCTCTGTGTACTGTACTACCTAACTGCGCTCACTCTGTGAGAGTGCAAGATCCTGTCTTATTAAAGCTTTGTATCTGATGCCTTCATCACCCCATATCACCTTGAGTCTTCTTCCTCTGGCACCTTATGGTAGCATGGAGGTAACCATGAGCTCTGAAGGTCACGTCCAGTGGAGAGCAACCTTTGACAGGTCCTACCTGGAAACCTGGAAAGGTTCTGATAGAGGGACTGCCTATGTCATCCATGGACTAGCTTGGCTACACGGTGATGAAATTTTGGACAAAAAAGTGGCCATCTACTGAGGCAGAGGAGAGTTGCTGCTAGTTGGGTCAGGAAGAACTCACACCAACAGAATCTTGGGTCCTCTATATATTCAAATATTCCCTCCAGGACCTAGCAAAGTGTTCTGTGTACACAGTCGGTGTTCAATAAATGTTGATTTGCACTGAATTGTCTCCCAAAGCATGTCTGCCTCTCCATTCCTCTCGTGCCTGTATCTTTTTGTCTGATTGGGTGATTCCCCCTCCATCTCTCTCCTTGCTTTGAATTTCTGTGTCTCTGTCTATCCCTTCTGAATTTCTCTCTGGCTCTTTGTCATTGAAGAGGTCAGGAAGGAGAGGCTGCCATATGTATTTTGCCCACCAGGTGGCAGCATGGACCCTTAGCTCAGACAATAGGCAAGAGAAGGGGGGGAGGTAAATATTGGGGCTGGGAATTTGAAGAAGGAGAATGAGGTTGAGGATGAGGATGGAAGATGTAGGGTGGGGGGCCCTAGGTAGGGGAAGTGGGGTTAGTTGGAGGTGAAAAGTCAGGAGTTGGAATACTGGACCATATTTCCTTTTACTAGAGAAATGGGGGTTATGAGGACTGAATGCTACGCATTGCCAGATAAAACCACCTTGCCCGTTGGTTTTGACTATCTACCTTTTTGAGGGGCTACAAGAGGAAGTTCAGTGTAGGGAGGTGTATAATGGGAAAATACTGTGATGCAAGAAAAAATACATCAACTTTGGGGATTTGCCTTGGACCCTTTATTTCACCAGTTTACGGGATGCCAAATATTCCTTATCCTGGCAACTCAGCTGTAATTTATTGTCTTAGGGATCAGCCTGTGGCACTCCAATGCTAAAATGATCTGACCATGATCACACAGCTAATATGTGTCGGAAACAGGACTCGAACTCAGGTCTTCCTGACTCCAAGACTGCTCTTCTATCCATTATGCCGGTGCATCAATAAAACTTTTTACTAATGATAAAGGTTGGCATGGGGCAGTAGATAGATAGCTAGCCTTGGAAGACCTGCGCTCAAGTCCCTTTGACCTCTCTGGGCCCCAGGCAAGCCTCTGGCAGGGTAAGTGGCAGAGAAAATGCCAGTCTGTCATTGGTAGAGAAAGTTCCTGCCTGGGAGCTGAACCTATGAAATCACAGGAAGAGGGGGAGGGGGGAGGGAAGAGGAAGGAGAAGGGGAGGCAGAGGGAGGGGGAGACAGACAGGAACAGAGAAGGAGGGGAAATGGGAGAGGAAGGAGAAGAGGTGGCAGAGAGAGGGAGAATTAGACAGGAACAGAGAGGGAGGGGGAAGGAGAAGGGGAGCAGGGGGAGAGGGAGACAGACAGGAACAGAGAAGGAGGGGAAGGAGAAGGGGGGCAGGGGGAGGGGGAGACAGATAAACAGGGACAATGAGGGAAGGGGAAGGAGAAGGGGGCAGAGGAAAGGGGAGGCAAAGGGAGGGGAAGGAGAAGGGGAGGCAAAGGGAGGAGGAGACAGAGAGGGAGGGGGAAGGAGAGAGGAATGAGAAGAAGAGGCAGAGGGAGGGAGAGTCAGACAGGAATAATGAAAGAGGGGGAAGGAGAAGGGGGGCAGAGGAAGGGAGAATCAGACAGGGAAGGGAAAGGGGATGGGAAAGAAAAGAGTAGGCAGAGGGAGGGGGAATCATACAGACATACAGGGACAGAGAGGGAGGGGAAGGAGGAGGGGGAAGGAGAGAGGAATGAGAAGGGGAGGCAGAAGAAGGGGAAGACAGACAGACAGGGACAGAGAGGGAGGGTGACAAAAGTTAGGCATCAGGCTCTCACCTGCAGGAAGGTCTTTGCCCACACTTGGAAATGCAATTGTAGACTTCGGCTTTCCTGCCTGTGTAACTGTTCTAGCTCACAGCGCAACTCGAAACAGTCTGCTTCAGGACATTTCTGAGGAAGAAGTAAGGTGTCCAGGATCTGAGAGTCTTGACATTTAGCTCTTATTCTAATTCCTGGCTCCATGCCCTCCAGCAACTCTTAGGTCCCAAGTCTACTCCTCCAGACACCCCCAAAACCCAGGGTTCCCAGAATTCTAAACTTACCAGAACTCGAGGCCCAGGGGCTGGTCCCCGGCTTAAGGCCTCCCACCTCTGCCGCCGATGCTGGGGCTCCTCAGGATCCAGCTGGAGGGAGATAAACTCAAGTTAGATTCCATCCCCCTTTCCTTCTAGAGATGACCCAATTTTCAGGTCTGGTTTACACTGGATCTCTGTTCTAGAAAAGCCTTGTTCGAGTATCTCGCTGAGCACAAGAGCTTCTTCCTTTCAGTTCACTTCATAGATAACTACTTTTGTTGCCTCTTTCCAGCAAGTATCTACCTTTTTTTTTTTTTTGGTTAGGCAATGGGGTTAAGTGACTTGCCCAAGGTCACACAGTTAGTAAGTGTCTGCAGTGCTTATCTTCTTTCCCCTTTTCCTACCAGCCTCACTGGCTTCTCCCTAGTGCCTCTTCCTGGAATGTCCTTCCTTCCTCCCTTCACCTTCTGAATTCACCTTTTAAATTCCAGGAAGCCTTCCTGGATTCCTCTCTCTCATCCTGTAAAGACTTCCTCCAGTACAAAGCTCTCTGCTTGTACTTCTGTTATGCACTTAACTATAGGACAGAATGAAATCCATAAAATCCATAAAAGTGTCTAGTAACTTCCTGCCTTGCCTTAGCAATAATTTCATTCTTCAAAAAGTGGAGGAGCCATAAAGGGGAATCCTCCTTTGGATATAAGTCTCACTAATAGGGAGGAAACAGTTGCTAGGGTGGGAAGGATGGGAAACTGGGGGGGGGGCCCAAGTGACCACTCAAACCTAGAGATAATGATAGATGGGAGGGGAATAATCTGATATATAAAAACCCTAGATTTTGAGAAAACAGACTTTGTTGGGTTCAGAGGAAAGACAAGTATGATCTCATAGACTAAAATATTTCCAAAGTCAGCCCAGGAGGCCTGAGAGATGCTCAAGAAGGAAATCCTGAAGACACAAGCAGAAATAATTCCAATGAGGAACAAAAATGAAACTTCTCTAGAGAGCAATGTGGACGCACAGGAAACTCACGAACTCATTTGGACTTTTAAAAGAAATGTACAGTAAAGGATATTAAGGCCTGGTAACAAGACGAACGTAAGAATGTAAATGTAAGTAAAGTACATGTAAGTGTAAGTCCCGTAAAAAGTATTAGAGGGAGCTAAGGTTCTTGAGGGAAGCTAGGGATGATAAAAATAACTTTTTAAGTTATCTGGGGAGAAAAAGGAGGATCAAGGGAGGGACAGGGGATAGGATGATAACTGATGCCAGAGGGAAAGCAGGGCTGCTCAATTCTAGTTTGTTTCTTTTCCGGGAGGGTGGATGGGATGACGATAACTGATGACTGGGAGAAGGCAGAGCAGCTCAATTTTGATTTTGTTTCTGTGTTTTTTTGTCAAAGGAGAATGACCTTTTCATCGGAAATGACAGAATAAAAACGGCAAACAAGGATTTGATACTCAAGATAAGTAGATGGCAAGAGAGCACTTAGTCACCTTTGATGAATTCAAGTCAACTGACCCTGATGGATTACATCCCGGGGTCCCAAAACAACGGACAGATGGCACTGGGAGCCACTGTCAACAACATGTGGAAGATCGTGGACAAGAGGGGAGGTCCCACAACTTTGCAGAAGGGCAAATGTTGTCCTAGTTTTTCATAAAGGGGAGAGAATAGTCTGCACACCACAGGCCAGTGAGCTTGATGTGGATTCTTGGGGACATTCTAGAAAGGTTGTCTAATATCTAGAAAAAGAAGTGACAATGGCAAATAACCAACATGACTTCATTGACAATATGTCACGGTGAGTGGGGTAGCACATGCTTCAAATCTCTGCTACTGGGGGGAGTCTGAGGCTGGTGGAATTCCTGAGTTCTGGGGTCTGAGCTAAACTGGCCTAACCCAAGTGGCCTAGGTTGGAAAATGGGCTAAAGCCTCCTTATTGATCAGCAGTGGCATTGGACCTATGAATAAATGCTGTACTTCTAACTAAGGTAACTTAAGGAGACCCAGCATTAAAAAAAGTCATGGCAGACTAATTGCATGTATTTTTTTTCAAGATTACTAAATTAGCAAACCAGGGAAATGCTATGGATATAGTTTACTTCAATTTTTAGCAAATTGTTTGATAAAATATGCTCTTTTTTTAAAAAATGCTCTTTTTTGGGAAAATATGGAAAGTATGGATTAGACGACAATGACTCAGGACTGGTTGGATGGCTAGACTCAAAGAGAAGTTGTCGATGGCTCCGCATCAGCATAGCAGAAAGTCTCAAGTGAAGGGCTCCAGGGCTCAGTGCCTGGCCCTGAGTGGTTTAACGTTTTTATCTGTGACTTGGATAAAGGCCTAGATGGTAACGCCCATCAACTTTGTGGATGACATGAAGCTGGGAGGGGTAGCTAACACAGCAGATGACAGAGTTGGGATCCAAAAGCATCTTGACAGACTGAATCTAATAAGATGAAATTCTATAGAGATAAATATAAAGTCTGGCACATGGGCACAAAACAACACCTCCCCAAGTAGAAGATGAGGGAAGCACAGATAGACAGAGGTTGTTCTGAAAAGGATCTTGGGGTCTGAGTGAATTGCAAAAGCTCCATGTAAATTAGCAGTGTGCTGTAGCAGCCAGAAAACCTTAGGGTGTCTTGGGCTCCATTATGAAAAGAGCAGCTTCCAGGAATAGGGAGGTGATAATCCCACTGTACTGTCCCTGATCAGACCTCTTCTGGAATAGTGGGCTCAGTTCTGGGCACAAGAAGGACATGGATAAAAGCTGTCCAGGGTCCAGAGGAGGGCCTCCAGGATGGCAAAGGGCCTGGAGGTCAAGATAGATGGACCTGGTCAAGTTTAGTTTGCAGAAGATATGACAGCTGTGCTCAAATGTTTGAAGGGCTATCATGACTCATCTTTCTGACTTCACATCTGGCCCCAGATACTTATTAGCTGTGTGACCCTGGGCAAGTCACGTAACCGTATTTGCCTCAGTTTTCTCAACTATGAATTGGGGATAAAAATAGTACTTATCTCACAAGGTATGTAAAAATCAGGGTTGTGAAGCTCAAATGAAATCATATTTGTAAAACACATAGTAGATGTTATACAAACACTAGCATTAGTATTACTGAGTTGCACAGAAGCACATGTAGATTTGATGCCAGGAATAACTTCCACACAATAAGTGGTACGCAAGAGTGGGGTTAAGTTCCTTCAATGGGTTGTAGACCCTTTCTTTGAAACGAGGTGGACAACCACTCATCTGGTATGTCAGAGTGGGAATTCCTTTGTGGATGGTTTGGATCAGATGGTCACTGAGATCCCTTGCAACTTCCAAATTCTGTGATTCTATGATATATATCTATCATATCTCATCTCAAGCCTCTAAGATCCATGGGGGCAAGGACTTCATCTCACCTAAACTTTGTATCTTCCCCAACAGACAACAGGCAGAATAATAAATGATCATGAAGTAAACGGAATGGGTCAGTGTCCTCTGCCCTAGATCTCTTCCCCAGAGCTCAGATCCTACATCCCTCCCCATCCCCCATTTCCCTCTGGTCCCAATGCCTATTTGTTTACCTTCAAGTCCTGTGGGTTGGGACTAAATGTGCAGTTGCTAAGCCCTGAGATTTTGGTGACATTGAGGAGCTGTTGACCATCTAGGGCCAGCGGGCAGCTGAGCTCCAGTATCCCTCTGCTGATGGAGCTGGGACCATCGTTGACAAGCTGAGGAAAGGAAGAATGGAACCATTAGTGGGGGACACTTCAGTCCTGGTACTGACCTCAGCTCTGGGTCACCTTGATCTTGGCACTACTGACCTGTACGTATTTCTAAGTCCCTCTTTCCCCACCCCATGGTTACTTATTTCTCAACTTCTTGCAGCCTGACTTCTTCACATTTTACTGAGATTAACGTCTCCAAGGTCACCAACAACTTCTCGTGACTAAATCCAATCACCTTTTCTCAGGACTCATCCACCTTGACCTCTCTGCAGATTTTAATACTGCTGACCATCCCTCACTACAGAATACACTCTTCTTCCTTAGCCTCAGGGATGCTGCTTCTCTTGATTTTCCATCTACCAGTCTGACTGGTCCTTTTCAGCCTCCTTTGATGGTTCATTATCTATCTCCTACTCCTGAAATTTAGGCTTCCTCAAAGACTTTGTCCTGATCCCCTTTCTCTTCTTCCTCTACATTCTCTCACTACTGAGCTCATCTACTTTGGAAGAAAGTGTCTTCTCCACAAGGTAACTCCCAAATGTTTATATCCAATCTTACCCTCTCTCCCAAATTCCACATCATCAGCTGTGTGCTGGTTTTATGCCCCTTCGGCATCACAAATTCAGCATATCCAAAACAGGACTTTCCGCCTAAATAGACCTTGCCTCTAAACATCCTTATTTCTGCTGTGCATAGTAGCCCAAGCTACTTGGGAAGATGAGGCTGGTGTTTTGCTTGAGCTCAGGAACTGTGAACTGAAGTGGGCTAAGCTGAGAGGAGGTTTCCACCAAGTCTGATACCAAAAACAATGAACCTCAGGAGAGTTGGAGGCATCAGGATGCCTAAGGAAGGATGAATTAGCCCAGGTCAGAAATGGAGCAGGTCAACGCTTCCCTGTTAGTGTTTAGTGATGGAAATACGCCCATTAGGGGCCAGTGCAAATCCAACTTTGGTGGAACACTGAGACTGGATCTTAAAAAAAATCCTATTTCTGTTGTGGGTGTACTATCCTCCCAGTCTCCCATGTGTGTGACCTCAGTGGTTACAGAATCATAAAATTAGAGCTAAAAGGGAGCTTAGAGGTCATTTAATCTCAGCTCTAAACTTTACAGCTGAGGAAACTAAGAAAGTCTCAAAGAGGTGAAATACTTGTCCAAGGTCATGCAGATTATAAGTAGCAGAGCCAAGATCTGTAGCCAGGTCTCCTGAGCCCAAATCCAATGCTTTTTCCGCTGGATCATGCTCTTTTCTTTGTCCTATGCAATGCTGTTCATGCTTTGTTTTCAGAGGACCAATGGCATTGCAGAGTGATGTCTTGACCTCCTCATGGATTAGACCAAAGTGAGGCAGAGTTGTGTAAGTTATTAGCATCACTCTTCCAGCAGCAGGACAAAAGTCAGGATGACTAGCAATGGCCTGGGATGCAGTGGATGACACTGGCCTCTTTGTCTTCAACGTCTGACCAAGCTCTAAGTGTTCCACAGTGCCTGCTTCAGCCGCTTTCACGGCCTTTGGAACAAATTGTTCTCATCTGCCCATTCTGCTAGGGGGAAGTCTTCACAGGCTTGGGACAGATATCCCCTAACTCCGCAACAGGTTTGAGGGCAGTCAGCTACTCTCAACCTGGTTTAGCCTGTTTGCTGAGGTGGTTTACCGGGGTGTGGCTGCTGTGCATTCTACAGCTTCTTGGAGCTGGAGGTGAGAGTTGGGTCATTGAGATAGACACCAAAGGTGGATAAGCAGCCCTGAAAGGGGCTCAGGGGCCCTCACACCAGAGGAGCTAGTCCTCAGCAAACACCTGTCTACATCTCTGAGCCTCAGTTTCCTCAACCATAAAATGGGAATAAAATACCTGGTATGCCTAGTTCTCCCAATTGTTTCCAGAAGCTCAAGTGAGACAATGTTTCTGTGTTTTTTTCTTTTTTACTTTGCAAACTTTAAAGCACTACCCAGGTAATTACTGTGATCTTTGTTGCCTTCTCTCTCATGCTCCCGGCCCCTGCAATATACCATCAGTGTCCCAGTCATGTCCGTGACATTCCTGGCCTCTGTCTTCTCTGCTCCACTTCCAGGGCCACTTCAAGCCAATTGAGCTAAATCTCTTCCTTGCCCTAGCTTGTTCCCCCAAGGAAGGCCACAGTTTCTAATGTCTGACCAGCACTCACTAGCCCTTTCCTTCCCCTTTCCCTGTCGTCCACACCACTCCTTGTGTCATCCCCACTCTTCTGTATGCCATTCATAGGACCACAGGGTTTAGAGCTATCAGATACCATAGAGATCGTCTCAAGTCCCATACTTTCATTTTAAAGATGGGCCTCAGTTTCCTCTTCTGTAAAGTGATAGGGTTGGATTTGGACGACTTTAGAACCCTGACCAATGCAAAGACCAATGCAGAGGACTGATGATGATGTCTCCTGACAGAAAAGGGGTAAGGTTCAATATGTACATTTTTGGACATAGCCAATATGGGATTTTGTTTTCTTTGATTATATGTATTTGTTACTAGAACTTTTTATTTTTCCTTTTTTTTTTTTTTAATACTAGAGGAGTGGGACAATAAGGTGAAGAGGGGGAGGGTCATTCAGATTTTTTTTTTTTAATGCAAAGAACAGAAGAAAGGCCAAGAAGAAGCAGAGACAAGCAGAACAGCTTTGAATGCTACAGGTTGAACTTTTATACTTAAAAAGAAGAGGTACTTAACAGACACTTGAAGTTTCATGTACATTCATCTTTTTCTGTTCTGCATATATGGAAATGCCCATTTGACATTTGGTGTTTGAGTTCAAAATAAAAAGAAATTTTAAAAAAGAAAAAACTTGAGAGGGTTGGACTAAAAGATCTCTAAGCTCTTGATTTCAGCTCTTCCCCCTGGCTTCTCTTCCCCTCTCTACTCCTCCTTCCCCCTGCTATTTCTCTCTTCTCACCTCATAGACGTGGTGGACCTCAGGGCCAATGCTGTTCTCTTCTTGGGGTGGATCTTGGGGTTGCCAGCCACTTATTGGGAATAGCACTGTCTCTGGCTTGGACACCCTAAAGAGAGAGAGAAGGGTCAGTATGGATCCCAGATACCTTTGGAAGGTTCAGCGCATTCCCCCAGCTGGAACCCTACCCATGTCCTGTGACTAACCCGTTCAGGGAGACGTGGGCCTGAGCCTCTACCGAGAGCAGGAAGGAAACCACTTCACTCTGAGAGTTATTGAGGTTCTTGCTGTAGGAGGGCAGGATAAAGAACAAAGAAGGGAAGGGAAAGAAAATAGAAGATTATGAGCCAGGGCAGAGGGGTCTTTGGTCCTGCAGACACCCTCTTCCCCTGCTCGCTCCCTCTCCTCTCCTCACGCCCACAGGCCCTGACCCCATCCCTACCTGTGAATCTGGAAATCAAACTGGATAGTTTTCTTGTTGTCCCGGAGATGAGGGACAGTGAATCGAAGGCCCCCCCACAGCTGCAGCCAGAGAGAAGGAAGGAGGGGTCAGACTGGTCAGGCTCAAATGAGGGAATGGATGTAAAACCCTTTGCAACTCAAAGTGCTGCATAAATGTCAATAATGTCCAGCCCAATCCCTTTTCTTTCATCAGCCTTCCTCTCCTTCCTGTCCCTCCTCCTCCTCTTTTCCCTCCCTCAACTGCTCAGGCCTATCACTCTCTTTTCTAATCCTCCCCCCCCCCCCCCCCGCTCTCCCCTGGCCCTGTTCCACTCCCCCGACTAATCAATCAGCAAACATTTATTAAAGGAGGCCTGCCTGAAGAATACTGTGCTTCCCCCTTCCCTTGACCCCTCCCTGGTCCTAGCTCTTGTCACCTTTGCCCCTGCCCCTAACGCCTTCCCACTCACACTGGCTCCAGCTTTCATGGGGTTCCCCAGGTCACAGACAAGCTGACGGCTCTGGTTCACAGCAAAGTAGTCACAACTTAGGCTGGAGAAATTCTAGGGGGAAAGAGTAGCAGCACTAGCACCCTTGGGGGTCCCCAGGCTGTCCCTCCAGCCTCAGTTACCCTGGCCCCTTCCCAGTTCAGGCTTTCCCAGTTAGGCATCCCACAGCTCCCTTGCCTTGAGCCCTGCTCACCCCGGGGTGTCGGACGAGTCCGGAGTACTCAGCCTCTGGGGGGGCAGTGACCCGAAGCTCAGCCTCGTAGGCCCCTCCTTCTCCCATGTTCTGGGCATGGAAGGTCAAGTTCAGGGCGTTTTTGTCACCCAGGTACACTTGAGTCTGCTCCCTGGTAGGATGAAGGGTGTTACACATTGGGGGTCAAGTGGAAACCCCCCAAATCTTGGCAAGAGACCCAGCTCCTGCCTCACAGTCCTTCCTGGAGGCATGAAATCAACTCCACTCTCTCTTTATACAAATGAGGAAAATTAGGCTCCACGAGGGGAAAATGGCCTGCCCTATCCACCATGAGGGGAAGGTCTGGGACTCAAGAGTCACATCTAGGGCAGGTCTACTTTCTCTTTGGATGCCACACCCAAGGGTGTTTGTCTCAGAGCATTCCCTTCACCCAATGACATGCCCCCTCTACCACCCTTCCTCCCACCAGGGGTGAGGAGGAGGAGGCCAGGGATTATATGCAGTGCCTGTGGAGCATAAGGCAATAATTCTCAAACTTTTCACCCTCAGGACTCCTTTATGGTCTTAAAATTAATGAGGATCCCAAGGAGCTCTTGGATTATTATGAAAATAATACTTTGAAGACCCCTTAAAAGGGACCCCAGACTTGCAGGGGTAAGAGGACCGCCCTTCAAGAGCCACTGCTCTAAGGGAAGGTTTCCCCTTCTCCCAGCACCACTGCACTCAACGGGAACACCTTCTTCTGAGTACTGAGCCCCCCACCCCCAATTGAATATGCCCTGGGGGCCAGAACTCCTATGTAAAGGGCTGTTGAGACTAGAATCATATACTGCATGGAAGGGACCTCAGATGTCATCTGGTCCATTCCTCTCATTTTACAGATGAGGAAATTGAGGTCAAAAGAGGTGAAACAGCTTGCTCTGGGTCACAAGTAGTAGAGGCCAAACTTCAAATCCCCAAAACAACACCCACACCATATTCACTCTTCTTCCCAAACCCCAGGCCCCCAAATACCTGAATATCTTGCCTTCAAGCCCTTCTAAGCCTCCCAGAACCCCCTTCTTCAGTCCCTGCAGCAGGGTGTTAGAACTGCACTATCCTCTGCCTTTCACCTTCCAAGTCACCTTGGGCACAGGGAGCCTTGGGCATCTGGGCACTCCTGGTCCAACTCCACTTACCCAAACACTTCTAGTTGTAAGTCAGGCACACAGATGTTGTCTTCTCCACAGTCCAGAAGGATCTGAGCCTAAGGAGGACAAGGAAGAGGAGCACGGAAGGAGAGTTTAGGATATATCCTTCTAATTTAGCCCCTCCCCAGAAAAATCCTGCCCCATCCTCCCAAGGGCTACCTATAGGCTCCTTCCCCCTTTCAATGTGCCAGCCTCCTAAAGTCCACCTCTTCCTTCCTCATGGCTCTCTTCCATGTTATCATCATATCATCATCATCATCATCACTCACCACCAACACCACCACCACCATCATCATCATTAAAGTATATGTCATACAATTTATAATAATCACATATAATACAATGCATAATATAATGTAGTATGTAATATAACCATTATAAGTATATGTTATATGTGATAATACCATTATCATAACTATAAAATTATCACCTTAACATTATCCATTATATTAATGTTATATATTATAATAATATTATATCATACATTATATAATATAATGCTATGGCATAGTATAATTGTAATTATGTATTATAAGATTAATTCCATAATTAATTAGTTATAAAAATAATAATAATAATGATAATAGTAACTGACATTTATATGGCACTTTACACAATGCTTTACCTATACAGGGTGTCCCACAAGACTTGGTGCTTAAAGTTTCAGTAGCTTACATCTGCACTAAGCCTTGTGGCCACTCTGTATTATCTCATCTGAGTCTCACAACAATCCTGTGAGTTAGGTACTATAGATATTACTAACTCTGTTTTACAAATGGGGAAATAGTAAGTTACATAGTTAGTAAGTAACTATGTAGTTAGTAAGTATCATAGTAAGTAGTAGTCAGAATTTGAACCCAGATCTTCCTGACTCAAGAGACCATGTCCCTCCATTTCCTGCCCTCTTCTTCCTACCTGCTTTCTATGGAGGCTCTGCACCCCCCCCCCTTAATCCCCTAATCCCCTCTCACCTTCTCCTCAATTCGGTTCCTGCTCTGGTAGTGCAGAACTGGACGGAGGCCATGGGTGTCTGGAGGCGCTTTGGAGTCTAGCGAAAAGTTTAGTGCAATGTGGATTGGAGAGAGTTTGTCTCGAAATTCTGACTCATTCTGAGGACCAGAGAAAAGAGATATGTGAGTTTTGGCCCCAGCTCCTGGTGACCAGGAATAGTACCTTCCTTCCCTCTCCTCTTCTTTTTCCCTCCCCATGCAGCCTGACGTGGAGCTGAGAGACTGGAGGCCTGGCTCTGTGTAGGGAATGGTTCCAGTTTTAGAGACTAGACCTTAGGGTCTTTCCCTTAAGCATACCTACTCTATCTAGCCAATTGCGAATATTACAAGGCCCTTGGAGACTTGGCCAACGGTCTACTCTATTCCAATTGAAGAGATATTTCTTCTCCCAAATCCAAGGATCCCAGATACCAGTCTCCTACTCCCCTAATCCCTTCCCACTACAGTAGTTCCTCCCCATCCCCACCAACTGCCCCAGGTGCCTCCTGGTCATTTCCCTTCCTCCTTCATGCACAGGTTATTTTGCATCCACTCAGTGACTCTGCCCTCCTCAGAAGGTTGCCTTAAAGCATCCATCTCCTCCAGCTACCCCACTGTGAGTTGGATTCTGAATGGGTGTGGCCATACCCGAAGGTAGATCTTCATTTCCTGACATTCCTCATGGGCCCCATTTTGGATGAGTAGGGTCTGGGTGTAGGACGCCTGTTGTGAGGCCAAGAATAGTGCCCGACGAATGCCCCCTTTCTGCTTCTGCCAGTCTAGCTGGAGCTCCACAGTGAAACCTAAATCAGGTGGGGGAGGGGCAGTCAGTGGGACCCAGGAGTTCAGCCCTTTGGATACATCTCTTCTCCCTTCCTTCCCTACTTGGAAGCCTGGTCTCTGCTTCTCAACTTTGCTAGCTGATTTTCTTTTTCTTTTCTTTTTTTTTTTTTTGGAGGTAATTGGGGTTAAGTGACTTGCCCAGAGTCACACAGCTAGTAAGTGTCTGAGGCTGGATTTTAATTCAGGTCCTCCTGATTCCAGAGTCTGTGCTCTGTGCACTTCGCCACCTAGCTGCCACCACCAATGATTTCTTAATTGCCAAATCTAATGGCTTTTTTTTTTCAATCCTCATCCTTCTGGCCTCTCTCACATTGTCTATCACCCTCTTCTCCTAGATATTCCCTCCTCCCTCCTCTCTCCTGGTTCTCCCCCTGTCTCTCTGACTCCTCCTTCCCCATCTTCTTTTCTGGATTTTCCTCTGGGTCATGTACACTCCTTGTGAGTGTTCCCTCAAAGCATTATTCTGGGTCCTCTATACCATCTAACTTTGTGATTTCAGCAACTCTCACGGGTTCAACGATCATCTCTCAGCAGATGATTCTCAGATCTATTTATCCAGTCCTAATTTCTCTCTTGACCTCCAGTCTTTCATCACCAGCTGCCTATTGGACATCTTGAACTGACTGCCCCATGGACATCTCAACCTTAGCATGTTCAAATCAGAGCTCACCTTTCCTCCAGAACATTCTACACTCTCTGGTCTCCCTATTAATGCTGAGACTACCACTACCCTACTGGTCACCCAGGCTCACGACCTTTGTGTTATCCCCTGCTTCTCACTCCCACTCACCCTATATACCCAAACTGTTGCCAAGTCTCGTCATTTCTACCTCACAGCATCTCTCATCTATGTCCCCTTTTCTCTCTACTTGGCACAACCCCTATCACCTCACACCCGACCTAGTGCAATAGCCTGAAGGTTGCTTTCCCTGCCTCAAGTGTCTCCCCATTCCATTCTCCACTCTCCCCAATCCACTCTCCCTCCATTCAGATGACAAATTGATCTTCTTAAAGTGCAGGTCTGATGACCCTGTCACTCTCTTACTCAATAAACTCTAATAGTTCCCTATTACCTTCAGGATCAATCAACTATAAAGTCCTTTGCTTGGCTTCTAAAGCCTTTCATAGTTTGTCCCCTTCCTACTTTTCTTATGCTTTACTTCCCTCTACATATTCTGGATCATAATCCAGCAATATTGGCCTTCTTTTCCACCAAGCAATAAACATTTATTAAGCACCTACTATGTGCCAGGCACTGTGCTAAATGCTGGGTATACAAAAAAGAGGCAAAAGTTAGTCCCTGCCTTCATGGAGCTTACATTCATCTCCTCATTAGTTTCTTTGCACCAGCAGTTCCCTCAAGCCCAGAATGTTCTGTCTCCTCAGTCCTTCTTCTGGCTTCTTTCTAGACAGCTCAAATCCACCTTCTATAGGTCTTTCTTGGTCCCCTCACTACTACTGCCATTCTTCTGAGTTTATCTCCCATTTACACTGTATATGTCTTGTAGACTAACAGTTGTTTACATGTTGTCTCCTTCATTTGAATGTGAGCTTCTCAAGGACAAGAACTGTGTTTTAGCTTTTTTTTTTTTAATATATATCCCAGAACTTATCACAGTGCCTGGCACATAATCAGTGTTAAATAAATGCCTGCTGACTGCCCACCCCTCCAGGCCCTAAGGCACTCTCACCAATGGAGTCTGGGACGTGCTTTCCAGAAGCATTGAGGCAGAAACTCAGGTTGATGCTGGAGAGAGATGGAAAGAGATTGGTGTAGAAAGATGTACTCAGTCCTCCCCTTTCCCTCTCAATTCTCTCCTGGCTCCCTTCTTGTCTTCCCAATTTCCAATGGCACAACACTGACCCAGGAACTCTACTTCCAACTCCACCCCAAGACACAGACCCAAATGTCTAGTCCCCAGAACTGGTTTGACTCCCACCCCAAGCCCCAGTGGGATCTGCTCCCCTAGCTGCATACCAGGACATGGGGTTTCCCTCCAAGCTGCAGCTTCGTTCCTCAGGGTTGAACATGGAGGGGAAGATGGTGAGGGAAGCACGGGCTGAAATTATCGGGCGGCCCCTGATTGGGGTTTCAGGGTCAGGGAGAAGAAAAAGAGGACCATCAGACCTCTAACTTGCTCCCCAGGCCCCTAAAAACAGGGGTTCAGAATCCTAGATTCCAGGCTTCTTGTATTCCAGCCACCTCCCACTCAGTCACCTGGATTCCCAACACTCCCAGAGTTTTCTGGTATCCCCCATCTCCCTGCTATACCTGTACACAACAGCTTTGTCCACACCAAAGGCCCCCACAATCAGGTCTGCAAGAAAACCACACATGTACACACAGAGGGTGAGTGAATCCTGAGCTAAAATCTCTCACGGGTAAACAATTTACCATTTACAAAATAATGTAACGGAAAATAACAAAGGACATCAGAGTATAGCTCCACACATGGCCCACTCATGAATTCAGGAGATAGGACTCACACCTTCCACTTTCAGCAGCGGGGTGGTACGCTATGGATAGGGAACATAGCATACATTTTCATACATAAGCAATGCATTGATTTGTCTTGCTTGGGATGGAGACAGGTAACAGGAATCTCCTCTTGAGGAATGCACAATGCCACCTTCTTAGATATTAGAGAGTTGCCTTGAGCAGCTCGTCCAGGGTCACACAGTCAGCAGAGTTAGGATTTGAACCCGTGACCCCAAGGTATCTATCCTGTTTTGTTTGACTGTGCTTGCTAGTTAAAGGAGGACAAGGATTATGTAGGATCAGTGAGATGTAACAGTGACATAAAAATATACGTGTATTAATAAGCTTTTTACAAAGAGATCCTCAACGAAGTGATTTAGCATTCCCCCTAATCTGAAATTCTCAGTTTTCTAAACACAATGGAGCCTGGGTTGGGGGATGTGGCCATCTAGTGGCCATAGCTAGAATTGCATTGGGAGGCTGATATTCGAAGTCCGAGAGATGATGGGAGCTGGGGATTGGAGTATTTGACAAAGACTCTAAGCATTCTCTGGTAGGTGTTTGGATTCAGATAAAGGGGAGAAAAGAATCCAGTTGTCTAGTAAAGGGGGTATTTTTGCATTCACCTGGATATCCATTGTTATCCAGGTCTCGAGCCCCTCTAAGAGCAAAGCCGAAGAAATCAGGGGCATGCCCTGGTTGCCAGAGGGGAAACAGCACCTGGGAGGGCTTTGAGCCCAGCCCTTTGGAGCCCCCTGGGTACACGAAGACCACTCCTTGCTGAGTCTGCCCCCCAAATGGGGCTCCAATGGCCACATCTGAAATACATCCATGACATGCCCTATTACCACCATACATTGCTGCCCAGACTGGCCCTTAGCTGTGTCTTTTAGACCTAAATCCCCATTCTTCTGTCCCCTTGAGACCTGGGCATCTGGCCCCTAGTTCCACCTAGGCCCTCAGACTTACATGCTTGAGCTTCTAATCTCTTTCTCTACTTCCTTTGAACTCAGACATTATAACTTCTTGGATAAAAGTGTCCATACCCCTACCTTTCTTCCCTCTTCCCCTTTCATTGCCCTTAGAACCAGGTCTCTATCCACATCGGTTTGCCGCCCTAGGAAACCGAATTCCATCCTCCAAATCCCAAGCCCCTGTTCCATCCCACTCTTCACTAGATTCAGGCGTCTGAGCTCTTAGTCTAGGTTCCCTCATTTTCCTCAAATCCAAGTATCTAGGCTTTCTTTACCCCAAGGCTCTCACCATTGTAGCCATCCTGGTCCAAGTCTCCCAGGGGAGACAGGGAACTGCCGAACCGTCCAAATTCATCCAATCCTGTGAGGGTGAGGTCGGGCGTAGGCTCCATGCCTGATGGGTGCTGGAGGTAGACATAGACTCTACCCACTTCCTGAGCTTGTCCATCGGCTGTCCTCTCCATTAGGAGTGGGGCCCCCACAAGAAGGTCGTCCAACCTGGCCAGCGGGGAAAATCAGGATTTCCTGATCCCTAATTCCTGGCCATCCCCCTTCTGTCTGAACCAGGAGACGCCAGATATCCCTGGCTGACCAGGGTTTGTCCTCAAGTCCTTACCCATCCTTTCTAGGGCCCAAGACAGGAAGAAAATAGCAATCCTCACTCCCTCTCCTAACCCCCAAACTGCCCCCTCCAGCCATAACTAAGTCAGGACAACTGGGGTTATGTTTCAAGGGACTGAAATTTAGTGGCAGAGAACAGCACTTATTCACTTTCATCAGGCCAGAATGGCCCCTCTTCTCCCAACTCTGGGCTGATCTGCAAATGTGCTCTTCCTGCACCCCATCCTCCATTCCTGCTGGACCAGCAGCAGCTTCACTCATGCCAGGGTTTCAGATGGTAGGGTCCAATGTCCCACAATCTCCTACCCCCTTTTATGGTGCTTACCCAGGCCCCAGAAATAGTAATGAAGGTTCTGGTCCTTCACTTACTTACCCATCCCCGTTGATATCTGTGGCAGCAACAGCATAGCCAAAATAGGAGGCCATCTGGGGAAGGGAACAAGACAGGGTAATAAGCATGTACTTTTTCTAGAACACTAGATGGGGAGCTAAATGTCAGTAGGGATTTGGGGAGAGGGTAGGACATTGTAGGGAGTTTGGCAGCTTGGGGATGCAGGCAAAGGGTTAGAAAGCTGTCCTCACCTGTTCCCCTGAGAAGTTGTAGAGAGACTGGACGTCAGAACCATCGAGGATGGTGACCTGGGTGATGGGGAGAAATAGTGGTGTGGGCCCCAATGTACACATACTGGGACTTCTAGCCCACCCAAAGTTCCCTGGAAAGACTGGAGAACACTCATGGGGCAGGCACCCAGGCATTGGCAGGAGCCACTCTGACAAAAATAGATCTAAGCCTGGCCTCTTTCCCAGGCTGAGATCAGTATTTCCAACTGTCTGCTGGACATTTCCACCTGGATGTCCCACTAGACAATTAAATTCAGTGCGTCCAAAGCAGGGCTCATTCCCTTCTCCTTGAGACCTGTTCCTTGTTCTAATATCTACTTCTGCTAATGGTACCACCATTCTTTTCAGTAGCCCAGCTTGAAACCCAGGTCATATTTTACCCCCGAATCAATCTACTCACCAAGTTCTGTTAATTCTATTTCTACAGTAGTTGTGGGATCACAGAATGTCAGAACTAGAGGGGCCTTAGAAATCATCCGGTGCAATCCCTAATCATTTTACAGATGAGGAAATTGAGGCCCTTTTCTTCCAACAACCACCACCCTAGTTCAAATCCTTGTGACTGCTCACCTGTACTATTTTTACACCTGGTCTCCACCCTGGTTACCAGATTATAGCATCATAAATCATAGGATCGTAGATTTTGGAGCCAGAAGGGGTCTTAGAGGTCATTCATCTCCTTTTACAAATAAGTAAACTGAAGCCCACCGATGTCAAGTGACTCGCTCTGGATTCTATAGCTTAGTACATGTCTAAAGTGAGACTCAAACCCAGGTCTCTCTGACTCCAATTCTGGGCTCTCTTGACTATACCACATTGCCTCTAAGATTAATTTTTTTTGTTTGTTTTGTTTTTGTTTTTGTGTGTGAGGCAATTAGGGTTAAGTGACTTGCCCAGGGTCACACAGCTAGTAAGTGTCAAGTGTCGGAGGCTGGATTTGAACTCAGGTCCTCCTGACTCCAAAGCCAGAGCTCTATCTGCTATGCCACCTAGCTGCTCCTAAGAGTAAACTTCTTAAAGCATAGTTATTAATCATCTCACTCCCTTATCCCTAGACCTTCAATAAATCCCCTACTAGATAAAATTCAGACTCCTTCCTTTTTCACCTTTGGGATTTTATTTCTTTTTTTTTTTTTGTAGTCATGCTCTTTTTTTAAATTTTTTTTAAATTTTATTAATTTATTTTGATTTATCAACAATCACTTCCATATGCTTTTGAGTTGAAATTTCCCCCCCCCTTCCTCCCCCTGATTTTATTTCTTATTACTCCCATTCACATACTCTACATTCTGGTCAAATTGGACTATTGACTTGCCTTTCTCCATCTCTTTTCCAAAAAAAAAGGTTTATTAGAACTAACATTGAACATTAATGAAAACAACTAAACTAGCTTAGTAACCATTTACATCAAAATAACAAGACACATGGACCCCTTTTGATCATTACTCATACCATCATTCTTACCTCTACCTTCTAAACCCATCCTTCAAAGCTCCGCTCTGGAGACACCTGATAGAGATGTCTCTGCTTCTCCCAAAGGGAAATGAATTCTCCTCCCTCCTGCTCCCCTTTTTATAAATATGGCACTAATCATACTCTGCCTTCTATTGATAGATGCTTGTGTGCATTATCAATTTTTCTCCCTGCTGGACTATTAGCTCTTTGAGTGCAGAGAATATGTCTTTGTATCCTCCTTAGCCCTTAGCATGGTACCTTATACACAGTAGGCACTCAAGAAATGTTAGGGAAATGAATGAATGAAAATGGACAGGATGGGGTGAGGGCCAGTAGGGGTCTTACATAGCCATAGGTGAGGTTTCCTTTGGGTACTCCAGCCACAAAGTCTGCAAGCAGGAAAGAAACATTTTAGGTAAGCAGGGAGGGAAAGGGTATCAGAGGCCTTGATCCTTGCCTCTTCCAGGTTTGAGGTCTATGACCCTTCCCCACTCATCTCCCACAATCCTGGGCCTGGTGACATCCTTACCCTCTGTGGCATCTCCGTTGAATTCACCTACAGCCACTGCGTATCCTGTGGGACACAATGGGTTAGAGTTTTCATTCTGAGAGGTCTCCTCTGTGCCCCCACTCCACCCTAATTCCCACCTGGCCTATTTGGTCATGAGAGTATTGATTTAAGTTTTGAATAACACTCTCCTAAATATCTTGTGTAGCAGTAGTGCAGACACTATGCCCATTTTACAGATAGGAGAACCAAAGCCCAGAAAGGCAAAGTCACTTGCTCAAATTTCTAGAACATGATCCCAGGTCTCTCCTGAATCTAGCATTTTTTCTACCGTACTGAATTGTTTCCCCTGCTACTCAATAAAATAATAGCTGGCGTTTATATGTTGCTTTAGGGTTTGTAAGTTGTTTAATATGTTTTGTTTCACATATCTTTAATATAGATCCTCATGACAGCTCTAGAGTGGTAGATGCTGTTATCATCATCCATATTTTACAGATGAGGAGACTGAGGCTGAAAGCAGTTGAGTGACTTGACCAGGGTTATGCAGTAAGTGTCTGAGATGGGATTTGAACTCAGGTCTGCAGGACTCCATGTCTAACAGTTTATTCACTTAGATACCTAGCTGCCTCATGAGTAGCTCTCCAGTCAGCCAGGAATGGAGTAGGTAGAGGCAGAGGCCTATCGATAGAAGAGGAGGGGACCAGAGCTCCAAGGTTCTCATACTATTCATGGAATGGGGAGAGGAGAAGCTGGAGTTTTCTGAGCATCCCCTCTCTGAAGGCCCAAGCCACCTTCCTCACTTACCCAGGTAGCTGTCATCATAGGTAGAGCTGGCTTGTCGGGTCTGTAACTGCCCCCGAACTTCAGTGATTAGATACTCTGGGTAATAGGACTCTGCAATTTGCTCCTGGGTCGCCGACAGGATCTGCCCTGGATGGTAAGGGGAAGGTGGGAGGTGGGCAGGGGCAGGGTGGATCAGAGAGAGGAGAAGGGGAAAAAGCTAGAGGGAGTTCGAAGTACTAGGAACAGGACACAGAGTTAGACAAAGGGGCTGAGGGGTCATTGGGCAAAGGTCAGAGTTAGGGGCTGGGGCTCACCTTGCCAGTAGTAGCTCCCAGGTCCTCCCAGTAACACACGTCCTGTCTGTGCGGGCAGAAGGATGGGGGACAGAGGCTGTGAAATGAACCCAATGCCTGCTCCCACCCTGGTTGTGCCCTTCTTTCTCCCATTCTCCTTACCTTGGTAAATTCTGCACTGAAACCCCCTTGGCAGTAACCTTGCCCTGTGGCAGAGCTAAAGTCTGCAGGGAGAGAGGAGGCACAATGTAGACAGAGTTACCCAATCAGTGAAGGGTCAGAAGGAAGTAGGTGTGTCAAGCAGAGGAGGCACAAGTGAAGAGGGTGAGAGGGCAGAGAGTGGGCTTGGGGGGGCCAAGGGTGGCATAGTTGGAGAATCATAGTGTTTACAGCAGAAGGAACCTCAGGGCTCTTCTAGTTCAACCCCCTCATTGTATACAACAAAGAACTAAGGCCCAGAAATGGGAAGGAATTTGTCTAAGGTCACAAAGGTAGGTCTTTTGACTCCAGAAGCAATATTCTTTCCATTGCATCAAACTGCCTCCTAGTCAATGCAGAGCAGGAAAGGGTTTCAAGGATATGGTGTCCCAGGCCTGTCCCCCCACCCCAAGCCATGCTCTGGTTCCCCCTTCCCCTCATACCTGAGCGGCAGGGTGAATATTCTAGGAACTGGGTGAAGTTGTCTGTAGAGAGATAGCAGGTACCCACTGGGTCACTCAGGGGTTCCTTCTCTGTGCGCCAGCTATACAAGGGGGCACAGGCCTGCGGACACCAATAGGCACTGCTCAGCCAGGATTCAACTCCCTTCCTAACCCAGCCTGACTCCCACCCTACCTCCCTGACATGCCCGCTGTGCCCCTCACCAGGATGGAGGAACCATGGGCTCGGACTGTGGCCCCAAACCACTGCAGGGACTTATATTCCACAGGCTCCTCTCCTTCAGGACTGGACAAGGATGACTCCAGGGGCCGAGAGCCTGAGAGGGAAGGGTAAGATGGGCATCAGGGAGAAAAGCTTGGGGCAGAATTTCAACACTCCTCTCTATCCACTAGAAGTCTCTTTCCTCTGGCTGAGGATCCCCAAGCACCTTCTAACCTTGACCCTTCCTGAGTCACTGGCAGACAGACTGGAGGAAGAGGATCTCTGAGAGACAGTTTCCTAGTCTGACTCACCCCTACCCATTCAGAGACGGATTTCCAGAATTGCCCACCATGCTTCTCCTCCCCCAGCCTCTCCAATAAAGGAGGGGTCAGGATGCCTTGATTCAGCCAAGCTAGCTGTCCAGGGTTAGGGTTGGGAGATTCTGAGAGTTTAGAGGCAATGAAGAAATCTCCCAGGTTAGGGATCTATGCAACTGGACCCCCCAACTATTTGTGCCTATTTGTCTTTAAAATTTTGATCTTATATCACTGTATATTCATATATATTAAAATTTGTATACATACTGGGCCCTGTGGTGTATATGAAGGCAAATAAGGCTCTCTCTGCCCACAAGGAGCTTACAGTCTATCAAGGAAGATAAGACATTTGCAAATAACCAAAACACAAAGCACATGAGAGTGTTCACAAGGAGAGTGTAGAGGAGACATGGTCCAGCTAGGGTAACTTGAGAAAGTCTTCAGGTGACATTTAAACTAAGCCATAAAGGATGAGGAAGATTTTAAAAGGCCCAGCAGGAAATGGGAACAAGAGTTGAAGGTGAGGAGGGAAAAAGGGAGGGCACGAAGGACTACATTGAGCAAAGGGAGGGAGGTAGAAAAGCACAGGATGCCTTAGGGAGACAGTGAGTCTTCAGGAAGAGATGGCTGAAACATAAACCAGGTAAAGGCTAGTCATAGTAGGTAAGCCTGGACAGGTGAGTTTCAGAGTCAGATCATAAAGGGAAATGGGGAGTCATTGAAAGCTTTTGAGCAGGGGAGAAACATGATCAAATCAATGCTTTAAAAATGCATCTGAGGTGCATGAGAAAGGTTAGCATGGGGAGAACCTGGAGGCAGGAAAACCAGTTAAGAGTCTGAGTGAGAAATAATGAGAGAAGGGGGTGGGTGCAAAGAGATATTATCGGGGCAGAATTTATTACAGAGCACTCAGTCAGCATCTCTACTTTGTCTCCATCTCTCTCCCTTGTGTCTTAGGTCAGCCCTCTTTCTGTATCTCTCTCTGCCTTGCCATCTCCATCTTTCTCCACTCTTTCTTCTGTCTCTGATTCCTAACTAGTTATCTCTAGCTCTTTCCATATATGTCTATCTTTCAGCTCTTTTTGGATTTCTCCTAAATTTGCATCTCTGTATTTCTCCGCTTCCTGTTCTTATTTCAGTTTCTGTCTTTCTCAACATCTACCTCCCAAGAGTTCTCTTTGCCTGCCTCGCCTGACCTCATCATTGGTTACCTGTTTATCATTTCACTGGCCTGTTTTTGGTTGCCTCATCTTCCTGCTGACTTTCTTCCCAGCTAGCCTGGTCTCTATGGCTCTCCTTGTTGCTGTCCCTCTTACTGTCTGGGTCTCTGTCTCTACCCCGGCCTCCCTGAGTTGTGGGTGATTCAGGGGAAATGAGAGCCACATGTTTCTGAATCATGCCCGCCCCACCTCGCCAAGGCTGGGCTGGGAACACATCGTCAGTGCCACTGGCAGAAGCCACACAAGGAGCCAGGGAAAAGATGAGGGGCGGAAAGGAAGAAGGGGATGGTTTCTCCCAGCCTGACCAGAGCCATCGAACCTAGGCATCCACTGGCCTCTAGCGCCCCTCCCACCAGCACCCGCTCCCTAGGCTAGTCTGGCCCCACCTCTTCCCTCAGGCCCCATTCTCTAGACTTCATCCTCTCCTCCCCAAACTCCACCCTCTTATCAATCCCCACCCAAGACCCGCCCCCTTCTCCCGGCCCCAATCCATTACCTTTACTGTCGAACTCAATGGGGGTACATTGGGCAGAGTTGGGGCCCCAAGGGCAGAGGTAGACGGCGCCGCCCTGCAGGACCCCCGGCTGGCTTGTGTTGGCCTTGGGAGCACCCACCAGGACACTGACCCTGTGGGAAGGGGCTAATCAGGGGGTGGGACAGCTCCCCAGCGCTGGCGCCCTCCTCAATCCCCTTCTCCCTCCCACTTCCTGTCCCTTTCCCGTTATCATCTCTAGGTCTCAGAACTTTAGCACAGGAACAGATTGTTAAAAATAAGGGGGCTACAGTTTAACTTCCTTCTTTTAAAAGGATAACTCATTTCTATAATGTTTTGCCACTTACAAAATTTTTTAAATTACCCCACTTTACAGAAGAGGAAACTGAGTCCCAGAGAAAAGAAATTGTTTGCTAAGGGACATACAATTAGTTACTGGCAAGACCAGGAATCAAACCCAGGCTTTCTGACTCCTAGTCCCAGACTCTGTTCTATATACCACTCTGCTTTCTTGATCCCATCTATTCTTATCCCACCTTCTCCCATCTTATCCCCCCCTGCCCCTCCCACTATAGCCTCTCCAAGACCTTTGCTCCTTGATCCATCTCCTGTGATTCTAGACCTCATGCTCTTCTAAGGCAAGAAGAACCTAAGAGTCCAGACCCTGAGGCCGGGGAGGGGCAGGTACCCACTGGGTGGGTATTTATATCTTGGGAGATGCCACAGATGCCAGAGGCACAAGCTGGATGGAGCCAGGCAGTCCCCATGTGCCGCTGTCACTAACTTCCTCCCCTCTCCCCCCAACATACCTTCTTACATCCCAACCCTCCCAGTTCCTCGTGCACTCACTCACTCCCTCCTCCAGAATTCCCAGAGGGAATCAAAAATTCAATCCTGAAAAGGAGAAGGGGAGGGGCCGTGGTAATCAGGGTTGTGCAGGACCCACTATCCCTATGAAGTGTTGTCTTTCATCTTGCAGGACACCCAACTCTCTGGCTTCACCCAGCCATGACTGTGGTATAAATACATTGGCATCTCTGCTCACCTTCCTGAAGCCAAAACCCCTCCCAAGGCCTGGATCCATCCAGCCTCCCAGACTAGGGAGAATGGGAGGAAAATGTGAGTCCTGAAAATGGGAAAAGAGGGAAGAGAGAGAGAGAGAGAGAGAGAGAGAGACAGACAGACAGACAGAGAGAAAGAGAGAGAGACAGAGAGAGAGAGAGAGAGAGGAGCTAGGGAGGAGGGTGAAGTGAAGGGGGCAAAGAGCTGCTTCTTCCTTGCTTGATTTCACTCCTTGCTGAGCTCCTGGATTTGGGGGCTCAAGGTCCTGAAGACTCCTTTCCCGTCTCACCTCTTGGCTATATTTCCATCTTCACACTCCACTGCCATAGAGTCTTTGTTCTGCTTCTGCCCTTCTGTGTCCCCAGAGGGCCATAAATTGTACTTCAATTTGTTCCCATCTACTAATGCAGTGGGGGACAAGGGACAGTGATTGTGGTCAGAGCAAAGAGCTCCTGGGGAATTGTTCTGGATTCCCTTTCTGTACCAGGCAGGTTTTCTGTCACTATTTCTATCTCTGAAGCAGCCTCCTCCACCCTCTGCTCCTTTGGCTCTTCTTGTCTATCTGTATCCATTGATCTGCTTGTCTGTCTGTCTGTCTGTCCAGTTGTTCTGCTTGACTGCCAGTCTCTGTCTGTATGTCCTGCCTGCCTTTTCTCCTTGTGTGCCTCTGTCTCTCCATCCCCTATCTTGCCTGTCACCATGTAGCATTTGGCTTTGTCCCCCCCATCACCATTCTTTTTCTTCTCTCCCATATTTCTCTTGGGCTCTGTCATTGCACCTTTGTCTCTTCTCTTTCTCTGACTGTGGTTGCTCCCTCTCTCTGCTTTTGTTCCTCTTATTGCTTGTTTGTCTGTTTCCTCACCCTCTGTCCTCCCAGCTCTCCCTGCCTCATCTTTTTCCCTAAGGTCCCGTTGTGCTCTCAGGCCTAGGCAGTGAGTGACTCATTCCGATCAGACAGGCTACCCTCTTCCTGAAAACCCCAAAATCTCTCTGAGGGGCAAGATCCTAGTACCCAGATACCTAGTCCTGGGTCCAGAAAGGAAAGCATGAGTCCCAAGGTATGTTAGAGCTATGAATAGAACCAGGAGGGAAAGCCAGGGACAGCCATCATTGCTTCTGGAAGGGTCTAGGAGTTGGGATGGGAGCTCAAGGACAGTAATGAATAGACAGAAGGTGAGATAACTGGAGTTACAGTTTCGAGGGACAAGAAGGGGTGGGGTAAAGGAAGGTAATGGAGGAAGGGGATGTGGAGTGGGTGTTGTTAAAGGAGAGAAAATATTTACTACTGCTTGCTTCCTGTTTGTTTCCAACTTCTCACTGCTCCATTTGTCTCCCAACCTTCCTCTCTCCTCTGCCTGGATTTCTTGTGCTCTGCTGCTGGGGTGGTTGGTGGCATGACTAAAGGGTACTTTAAAATGTCTTTCAGTAGAACGCTGGAGCCCTGCCCTCTGAGATGAGTGTTGGTCCTGGCATGAACTCAGGCTCTGATTCCCACAGAGCTGACACCTGACTCTTGCCCCAGAACAGTGCGGGATGGGGTTGAAGTCAGGTCTAGGCAATACCAGGGGTCCATTGAAGTTGAAGGGTGGGTGATGAGGCTTCTGCCCCACCAGTTGATTCAGCCCCTCTACTATGTGGCAGCCCAACCAGAGAGAACTTCAGATTCATTGGAGAAGACAATTTGGGACAAGGCAGGAAAGAGGTGGGTGGGCTCCCTAGCCAGGGTGCTTCCTAGGGTAAAACCTGTGACACTCAGGGACATAAGACCTAGGTTTGGATGGACTCTTGAAGTCACAGGCAGGCAAGCCTGCATGTAATGACTGGATAACGGAGTCATTGGGAGGTCCTGGGTGTCTTTTCCCCTTTCTATCCCCACTCCCTACTCCACCCCTTCCTTACCCCAGGTCCTGCTTCTTATATCCCAGGGCCCCAGAACTCCTAAATTCCCAGGATCATAATATAGAATCCTACACTTAGAGATCTTACAGATCATCTAACCCACCTCTCCCATTCCTAATTTATATATCAGGAAAATGAAGGCCAGAAGATGAAGTGACCTACCCTAGGCCCCCCCAAGTTAGTGGTGGGGTTTTCAGGCTAGGACCCAGGGCTTCGGACTTCCAGTTCAATTCTCCTTCAAATTTAACACAAAACCATGTCTTTCCTCTCTCCCCAGACAAGCTATTGATTAACAGGCCTGTTCAATACCAGGTTATTGTTTGACTCCATTGGCCTGAACAAGGTCAGGGGACTGGGCGGTGGTCCAGGGAATGTGGATGTCCACCTCCCTAGAGACCCATCAGTAATACTGACCAGCGCTTGCTTGGGTTTGGGTCCTGGTTCTTCTAATCCCTGGAGGTAGAGTTTAGGAGCAGAAATTCTACAATTTAGCCCACCCTAAAAATCCTTCCAAAGTAAAACTAAGTATAGAGATGACTGAGGCAAAGAACAAAGGAACCCCAGCCCAGGCCCAATGGCTATCCAGAGGGGATGAAGCCAGAATCTTCATCCCCAAACCTTAGCTCTGGGACCTTCCTCAGGGTCCTCAGGAGAGAAGACCCTGGGGGTGATGGAAAGGAGGATATAGTTAAGAGGTGCTTTCACTCCCTTGAGAGGGCAGAAGCCATCTGGCTCTTCATGAGAGTCAGGGGCTCACCTGTGTGTGCGTACCTGGGCTGGAAGAAGGCAGGGAGGTAGGATGTATCGTCATACTCTGAGAAAGGGTTTAGAGAATGACTGAGAGAGAGGAGGAGACACAAGAAGAGAAATTCATTTCCTTGAGGGTCAGCCTATCTGGGTGTGAGCTCCTCCTCCTCTTCCTTTCTCCCCTGACCCCAACAGGAACCAAAGAACCCTAATCTCCAGCTCAGCCTTTTCTTCTCTCTATAAATCCTTTTAAAAACACACTTGGGAACTATGTACCCCATCCCCACCCCTTCTCCTGCTAGAAAAACCCAGGTGTCCTGCTCTCTTTCCCTCATCTCCTCCCTAGAGCTCCAGACATATAACTTCCCAGCTCCTCCATTGCCTTTCTTCCTTCGCAGCAGAACCCTGGCCACAGGGAAGTGATTCCCTTTCTCCCTGCCCCACTGGAGATGTGGGGGAGGATGGGGGTGCTGGGGGAAGTTGGGCCTGGCAGAGGTCCCAGGCCAGGGTGATGCAATGGGGTTTGGGCAAGAAGCCAGAGGGGAGGTGGGGTGGGTGTGGACCTCAACTAGCCCCAGAACTAACAGCTGGGGCCTAAGCATCCCCTCTTCTTTCTCACCCTCCTCTCTCTCCCTCCACATAGACACCAGGGAAGCCCCCATTTAGGACACCAAATGGGATTAACCCTTTTTTCCCCAGGGGTGTGTGTGTGTGTGTGTGTGTGTGTGTGGTGGGTGTACTCCATGCTATGGTCAGTGGGAAGCAGTTCTCCCACAGACTGGGGGGCCAGTGAGAAAAGAATCCATTGAAGTCTTCCATCAACACCCTTTCTCTAAATCTGGATAAGAAACCCCAGACTCTTGTCTCTCAGTCCCTGAGAGAAACCATGCTCTCATCCACACTTGCAGAGACAAGATAAGAACCCTGGACTTCTCCACACCCGTCTCAGGTGGGAGACAGGAGTGGAACACAATGGAAATGTATTTAGGGGGAAGATATCGTATTCTTTTTGTACTCAGGGTCTGGGGGCTTCATGTCATCTTGATAGGTTAGTAGTTGGAGGGATCGCTCCTCCTCATCGCCCTATTTCCCAGACCCCTCCCTTCCTGCAGCCCCTTTCCTAAACTTCCTGAGAAGACAGTTGTCTGGAACCCTAGTTTTCCAATAAGGACCCAGAAGTCCTAGCCCAAGGTCCAGCTCCCACTATTTCGCTACAGGAAATCAGCTTCTTTCTTCCTCTGGAAAGTCAGAGGAAAAGGGAAGCTGCCTCCCCCGCCCCGCCTGCCGACACATACACACTCACATACATAGACACCCGCCCGGGGTTGAGCCCGCCCCTGTCCTGGCGCCTCCCAGCGCCCCAGGTCTCCGTTGGACACCCCAATTCCTGCCCACGTCCTTTAGGGGCAGCGCTAAGACTGCAGCGGGCCAGTGTTGGAGGAAAGTGGAGGACGCTTTAGGGGAACAGGGGAGAAGAGGAGGAGGCAGTTGCCTCAGGGTCTGCCGGCAGACTGGCGGAGGGGGGAAAAAGAGGGGGTTAACGAAGGAGCCGGGCTCCCCACCCTCCGCCCGACTGACCCCTCTATCCCTGCCCTACGCCGCCGCCACCACTACCCTTCCATGTCCAGGCCTCCACTTCCTGACTCCCCCCTGAAGTTTTCCCACTCTCTGGCTCCGACCCTCGCCCCCACCCCCACCCCCAGCACAATGGCCCCGTCTAACTCCAGGTTCCCCCGCCCCGCCACAACAGTCTTCTTGGCCTCCAGTGCCCCAGCTTGGTCACCACCCCACCTAGCTGCCCCCGAACACCATTCCCTCAGCTCTCTTCCTCCCCCACCCACCATTACCGGCTCAGCCCCGACCCTCTAGCCCAGACCGGGTCAGACTCCTGCCCTGCTTCCTTGCCCCACACACCTCTGGAAGCTCCAGGCTCTGGATACTCTCTAGACTTAAATCTTCTCAAACTTCAGCCCCATCCCCTCTCATCCCTTCTCCCTCCCCATCCCATCGCTGCCCCAGGGGATTCCCAGCTCTAACCTCACGTTTTCAAACTCTTTCCTTGGTCCTTCCAAACTCGTCCCCCCATTCAATTCCAACCCCGGTACCCCCACAAACCCTAGTGCTGTCCCTCCCCTTCCACTCCCACCCCCCACTACACACACACACACACACACACACACACACACACACACACACACACACACACATCCTCCGCCGTCCAGCCATAGCTCTCCAAAATCCGCCCTGGTCCTTGATCATTTGGCTCCCACTTCTTCAACTAGAAGCCTGCCCCCCCAGCCTTAGTCCTTTCGGATTCGAGCCCTCGCCTCCAACTGAGTTCTTCCCAAAGTTTAGCTTCACTTCCTCCTCCCCAACCCCAGCTCTCCTAGCTCCGGACCCCCTTGCTTTCAAATTCCAACTCTGGTCCTTCCAAACTAATCGAATCTCCCTCCATCCTCAAACTCCAGACCTGGTGTCCCGCAGATCTCAATTCTGGCCTCACCAAACTCCTTCCACCTTCCAAGTGGGCCAAGGCGCCAATTCGCTGCCACACTTACCCTTCGGCCCCCGGCCGATAGAACTCCACCGAGAAGCCGAAGAAGGATCCCGCGGGTCCAGTGAGCACGGTTGGGGCCTCTCCGTCCAAATTGAAGCCCCCGACTCCAGACTGCAGCAGCAGCAGCAGCAGCAGCAGCAAAAGCAGCAGCAAAGGCGAGCGGAGCAGCAGCCGCTGCAGAAGCCGGTGCCGAGCCCGAGGGCCGGAGCGGAGCAGCCGAGTGTGCAACAGAAACCCAGGAGTCCGGCTCCCCATAGCGCCCAGTCTTCCCTGTCCTGGGGCCACCGACCCGGAGCCGCTTCCTAAACCTCCCAGAGACGAATGACTCAACTCGGGGAGGAGTTTGGCAAACTCCCGGCTGAGCCCTCCCCCCGCCGGCCGGGGGGGCGGGTAGGGGGGCATTCCTGGGTCTTTGGAACGCAGAGCCCACGCCCCCCCCGAGAGGTGGGGTTCCTCTTTGCTCCCCTGTTCTCTAGCTACCCAGTGGAGCTGGCCTGGTCTGGACTGGGTTAGACTGGGTAGATTTGAGTTCTTCCCCCTCCCCTTTCTTGCTTCCCCCTCTACTCCCTCCTCCTCCTCCTCCTCTCCTCCCCTCCCCTCCAGAAGTAGAACGTAAACGCACAGGAAAAGGAGTAGGAAAAAGGGAGAGGAGAATTTCCTAATGAGGAAAGGAACCACCTCAGGAGGGTAGAGGGAGCCAGGGCAGAGCGGGGTGGGGTTGAGGGGTCCCACTCTAATCTCTTCATCTAATCTCTTTCAGGGGCCTCCCTTCCCATCTCCCTCAGGAGAAAGTCCTCGGGCTGTAGACAGAAGGGAACCCCTGGCATCCAGCCAGTTGGGATTCCCTCTTTGCTTTCCGGGGCCACCAGATGCCTAGGTCCAAGCCAGCTGGGGTTGGGACCCAGGCGTTCTAGGTGCCAGGCTCTCTGGACCAGGTTTGGCAAAGAGACCGAGCTTCTCTAGATCTGAGGCTGCCCTAAGGGCCAGAGCTTCCCACAAGAGCTGAGGACCCAGGTATCTGATGCCTTTACATTTGGGAATTTCAGATTTCTCCCTTCCTGGCAAGGGAGATTGTTGAGGGAGAACAGGGAACTGTTTCATTTGAAATTACATTTGTATCTGTATGTGTATATATAAATATATATATATACATATATGTATATATATACATATACCCATGTAATCTATATATCAATTATCTATTGTCTATCTATTTATCTATCGTGCTTTGCAAACCTTACAGTGTTATATAAATTCTAGCTATTATTTTTTTTTCTTTATAAACCTAATGCCCAGAACCAAGAGCTGAGGACCCAGGCATCTGATGCCTTTACATCTGAGAATTTGAGATTTCTCCCTTCCTAGTAGGGGATGAACTCTTGAGAGGCAGCAGACAGTGTTTCATTTGAGATTATGTATTAATTATATTATACATTAATTATTAATATATGTGTGTGCATATATGTACACATATATACATGTTTCCAGTGAGCTTATGTATTTTGCTTTGCCAGCCTTAAAGCGCTATATAAATGCTATTTTTTTTTGTGGATCCTGTGCTTAGAACATAGTAATTATTTAATATGTGCTTATTGAATTGACTTAAATTGAATTGTGGACATGTTATAGGTGTGTGTGGGCAGAGGGAGTGACCTTTCAGTCCTTGTAGCACTCTACCCTTTAAAATGCCCACCCTGGGGAGTGGGTTTTGTAGGCAGTTTTACTAAAGGGCCAAAGGGATCCCTGGGACTCTTTTCCCAACATCTCCTGGCTCTTAAACACTTTGGATATGGATACTATCCCTTAGCCCCCTGTAGAAACAGAAACACACAGGGTGGAAAAGTAGAGGCCCCCTCCTCCTCACCCCCCACAGCTTTTGGCGATGATGTCACCTCGTAGGATTCAGGACTTTATCTCAACCTGGGGGTGGGGGCAGGGACCACAGAGACCAGAAAACAGCCTCACCCCTATTTATCCCTCTCAGGCCCACCTTCCCTCTCTCTTCAGGGCCCCTCCCTCTATTTCAGAAACTACCCCCAGATGGAAATGGATCCATTCTTTCAACAGATTCCCTTTGCTGGGGGCCCAGAACTAATATGGCCGGGGAACAGATCCCCTCCTTTACCCTCCTCTTCTCCTAGCTACTGAAATTTCACCTCTTATCCCAAACAGTGAAGTTATTTCAGATAGCCATTGCCTGAATCCTTCCCCAGTTCCAGCTGCAACCCAAGGGAGGGGCCAATTTGCCTGGCATGAAGATAAAGTGATTGTCCTATTCCCAGTCCCACATCTGCAATTACCAGCGCCTCCTCTTAGGAGCATAAACTGAGTTTACCCACCTGATGGGAGCCCAGAAATGGATGTGAAGTAAAGCCAGTAAGAACTTTGGAAGTTTTCAGTTACCTAAGTAGTGGGGTTTAGTTGAGATGTGGGGGAGGAGGAGGCATTGTGGAGACCCTGTATTTCAGTAAACAGGCACATGATATGCAAAATGCATGCAAATGAGCCAGCCCCATTCTATCTCCAGTTTAGGTAGGTTCTTTGGGTTTTCCCAGGATTTGGGAATTGGGGTGTGTGTATTGGGGGTGGGGGAAGGGATAAGAGTGTGACTCAACTCTTCCCAGGAGTCTTGGGGGGGGAGAGTGGACACAATGTTCTGTCCAGGTCCTCCTCCTACCCCACCCCCCACCCCCCAAGCCCAGGCCAACCCAAACAGCCTTCACTCCCTGCCCTTTCTCTGCTCCTGTTTATACCAGGAGCCCCTTAGTCATTCCCTGGCTGGCCTCTGTTCCTTTTCCCAATATCCCTCCTCTCTTGGCTTTCTCTGCCCTTATAAGTCCTCTCCCTGTGGCCCCAACACCTCCTGCCTCCCCTCCCTTGAGTCCTGCCTGGCCCTCCCTTTCTCTGCTCCTGGATTTCTCTATCTGCCCTAAGAGATCCTTCCGCAATGGGGTGGCATGTGTGCCTCCTTCACAAGGCTCGGGGCTAGCTCAGAAAGAGAGGCAAAAGAGCCTTCCTTTAAATTACAAGGAGACTGAGAGGTCATCAAGCCTTAAATGTGCTTTCAGTAGATAAAGAAAATGAGCTAAATCTCCTAGGAGAAGCCTTTCCTGATCCCCCCCCTCTCCCAAATCTAGTGTCTTCCTCTGTTGATTATTTGCTATTAATCCTTTCTGTATCTTATTTGTACATAGCTGTTTACCTGTGGTCTCCTCTATTAGACTGGGAGCTACTTGAGATCAGGAACCGTCTTTTGCTTTTCTTTGTATCTCCAACCCTTAGCACAGTGCCCGCAACATGGTAGGTGCCTAATAAATACTTGTAGGCTGACTAAGGCCCAAGGTTAAACAGTTAAATTAAATAGTGGCAGAGCCAGGATTAGAACCCAGATCTCCTGACTCCTACCTGGCCACTCTAGGCTTGCTAGGTAGGTGCTACTGTTGCTCTTCTCTCCAAGTCTTTGCTTCACCTTTCTCATCTGTGTTCCTATCTCTTTCTCTTTCTCTCTGGAGTCTCTCTCTGTTCTGCCTCACAAGCTCTCTCTGTCTTAGCTTCTAGGTGAGAATGATTAGCTATGATGACTGACACTATTATTAATCAGAGTCACCTTGGCTGGCGGGTTGGGGGAGGCCTAAAGGGCAAGGACTGGATATTGTCCAGGTTCTTGCTGTCACCAGGTTTCTAGGCTCCTGCCACCTTTGCAGAACAAAGTTCTAGAAACAAGAGAGTGAATTTCAACAGGACACTTTGGGGAGAAACTTGGTTGTGTTCTAGCTTTTCTCAAGGTTCACAGATATATTCATAGAAGATTAGAGCTGGAGGGGTCTTTGGAAATCCTCTAGACCAACTCCACCATTTTACAGATGAAGAAATTGAGGCACTAAAAAGTCATAACATCATAAGATTTGGAACTAGAAGAGACCCTAAGGATCATTTAGACCAACTGCCTCATTTTATCCATCAGAAAATGAAGGAACAGAGCAGAAAAGAAACTGATCCCAAATCACATAGGTACAGACCAGGATTCAAACCCAGGTCTTCCACTATTCTTTTCACGATGACTTCCCCTTGCTAAGAAGTGGTAGTGCCAGGATTTCAACCCACATTTTCAACCACACTTCCAATTACATACTTCTTCAGCAGAACCAGAAGTGAGATTCACCAGAATGGTGAGTTTCTATGCAGAATATTGAGGCTTAATGATGGGTGTTCTAAATTTCAGGGTTCTAGTGTCAGGAGGCTGGCCCAGAGCTCTATAAGGCATAAGAAAGCTGATAAATATGGCAGGATTTTGGTTGGGGTCTTTTGAAAAGAGCTTGCCAAACTGAAGGGTTGGAATAGACACAAATAATAGATTTAGAGCCATCTGTCCTCCAAAGAAATTATATGAATCCTTGATTTGAAGTTGGAAGACCTGGGTTCAAATCCTGACTTTATCAGGAATGGACTAGCTGATTTCTAAATGCTAAATAGTTGGTTCCCAGGCTCTTGGAGGGGGAGAGAGGGGTAGACTAGAGATACATAGAGGCTACTAGGGGACTCTGGAAAAGAGGCCTGAGATACGAAGGGAGCTTTCCCCAAGTAGAATAACCATATCCTTCTTTGATCCAGCTTACTTTGCCTAGTACCTTTGAGGCTCAGAGCTGGTAGGAATAGGAAGAAATTGGTTATCTTGGTTCTTCGGTAAGATGGTATCTTGGTATCTTTAAATTAATTAAGTAATTAATTAATTTTTAGTTTTCAACATTCATTTGCACAAGATTATGAGTTCCAGATTTTCTGCCCATCTTGCCCCTCCCCCCACCCCAAGACTCTTGGTATCTTTAGTAAGATGGAAAGGAAGGGGGGGGGGGACAGCTAGAAGGTTACTAGTGGCGACCTGAGCCTGGATGGGATAGTGGAGAAGGTGTTGGAGTCAGAAGACATGGGTTTGAATCCTGACACATCATTTACCATCTGTGTGATCTTTAGCAAATCCATTTATTTCCCTGGCCCTCAGTTTATTTGACTCCCATCTATGGTTAGAAGTGGTACATGCAGTGATGCACATGAAGTGGAAGGTCAGAGGACCTGTGACTGAGTTCTGTCTCTGCCTCCAGTCCTGACTCAGGTCTCTGCTTTGGAGAACAGACGACTCTATCATCTATGAGTCACTTCCTACAGTCCCTATCCCCACTCCCACCCTGTCTGACCCAGGAGAAACCGCTGCCTCACGTTCTAGACCTAAAAATAAACCTCTGACTGTGCTGTAGCTTACCCAGAGCCCAAGAATCAGGAGAAGAGGAAAGGCCTTCTGGGAGTCAAGATGCCTGAGTCCTCTTGTTTATGGAGAGATCCCCTCCCAAGCTTGCTTGGCTTGAGACCCTCATATGGCCAAGGGGCAGGTTTTCCAGGATGGGTCAGTTTCACCCTGGATCAGAAGGAATAGGGAAGAGCCTGGGGTTGGGGAGAAGGGGCAGGGCAGAGAGGAGAGGTGGCAGGGGCTTAGGGGGACATTGAGGGGAAA